AGTCTAGAAGAGATCCACCGTATTTTGGCGGTTTGTCCGGTTCTGAAATGTCAACATTAAAATCTCACGGAAACAATATTGTACTCGATAGTGTTGATGCTGCCTCGAATAGCAATGATAGCTCATTACAACATTGTAATTTAGGAGTTGACGGAGGCCGGTAAATTCCACAAACAGTGATCCAAGTTTTCCCAAGGTTAATCCTGAGAACGATAGATTTCACTTTCGGTGATTTGTTTTTTCGTATGTAGAAATCTTAAAAAACTTTACCTTCAATATCAACATGTTGTTGTCATTCAGAACTTGTTCTTGAGTGACATCTCGTATCCTAATAGCAAAACACGACCAGAATCTACCTCAGCTGACTAATGTTGTAAGGTACTTTGTTAAAAGTTAATTACCCCATGATTAATACTCGTCTTACACCTCGGAAATATTTTCTCATGCAAGGTCGACTCAAATTCTTCACAGCCAATAATCTCGCAACAAAATTGTACTTGTCTAAATTTCTCTTTTCCCATACCGTGCGCTTACGGAGGCTAGTAAGGTAATTATTTGCGCCAATCCTCCAGATTTTTCGTCAACGGTAATTGCAAATCGCACGAGTCTCCCCTCTAGCGCAAGTCCTTTCGCAATACAAGAGCTCAGTACAGACGGATAGATATTCCCACCACAAAGAGGCACGACTACTCTGCAAGTAGAAAAAGGAAAAGTTTAAAATATCTTTATCGTTCTTAATTTGTATTCACACACGACACATGTGTGATGCGTACTTTCCACAAAAAACCTTTTTTACTCGGACACTCGTTGGGCGAAAGTCTGGGTAATGGTACACCTCTCATTTAAACACTACAATTCTACCTCCTCTCTCTCCGCTGACATTTCAAACAAATTTCCTTTCCTTTGGAGTTTAGCTTAGTCGGTAGGTTATATATAAGCACAGTTCAAATCCCAGTCGCTGTTCTATTTCACAAAACGGCTGTTTATTACTTGACTAAACCGCCAAAAAACTCATTGCTAAATCGTCAAAGATGTTTATTTTAAAAACACTTGATATATTAGACTTGTAATTGTGTGGAACTCGGGTTTACAAACTTACCGTTTGCCTTCAAGCTGTGGTAAATACCCACCCAGCAGGGCTGCAACACCGGCCGCCCCAGATCCTTCCGTGACGGCACGCTCATTATCTTGGAGCTTCATGACGGCTAAACAAATATGATCGTCACTATATGAAAAAATAGTTCCTCGGATTAAGTTGTAATATCTTTCGTTAAAGGCACACATCACACCAATCGGCACTATCTATTGTAGGCCATTGAAATCAAATGTGTGACAGTAACGGAATACAATAAACTGGTCAAATATAATTATAGTAACTTTTGCATCAACCAGCTGGGTAGAAATATGCCGGGTGTCTGTGCTTCTCTGTACTTATAATCACCAATGAATCTATCATTGAGTGAAGATGAACAATTAACACAATAAGTGTTCCAAAACACGTTGCTCTTCTTATTTGACGGGAGAAGCAAGATATAGAAGTAAACGAAGGCCTGCTTCCCCTGATTCGGCTCGAGGGTAGCGCAGACAGCTACACAATTGGTGTGCAATTAATGTGACCAACTCGCGTAAGGCATAGATAATAACTGTGGATCATTCGCTTCCCATAAGTATACCGGAATGCCCTGCACTTAAAAACATTAAGTAAACATCATGTAGAAATATAAAACTCTCGCTAAGTTTCCAGTAACCATACGACAAAGACTTCAACCCCGTGACTCTTCCCCATCGTCAGGAATGTTCTGCGATCTACTTAAAATATGACTGAGGTTTACTCAATAATGCAGCGTTTAAGAATGGAGCACAGACATATTCAGTGACGAAGAAGCCACTTTTGGTAATTCTATATGCATGGTTTGGTTCCAAAACAGCTATCCTTACAAAATTAATTTACCTGACAGCTACAAGTTTGTCCACAGGTCCATTTGCTATATGAAAAGCGTTTTTCCCGACTTCTGGTAGGTTCAGCGCTAAATGCATTGGAATTAAAAAAGGACTCAGTAAAAATTAATTCGGGTCACTACAATGCAACAGGAACGCAAACAATACCTTAACTACTAAAAGAATACAGGAGAAGGAAAAGGGGCAAGCTAGAATGCTAGTTCTTTTTACTCTTCCTTAAAATGTTACCTTGAAGTTTTCTTCATCAACGACGATTGATGTAAAAAGGACTAGAGTACAATGCGCCTGCTCAAATCACTTACCGTCTGTCAAAGTAGAAGGGTAGTCAATACTTAGCTTGATTGGATGCCCAGCAGACATTGCAGTCTGAAAACTTGGACACTTTGGATTCAACATCCTAAAAGAGGTTAAAAGAATAAAGTTAGTACAGAATTGGGAATTTTCCCTATGATTCTTTTCCGACAATATAGCTGTAAAACATCTAATGTAAGAAGCAGTGAGCTACCATGATGAAAAAAAAAAAAGAATGTCAAAATATCACAACTTCCTCTGAACAATTTTTTGAGTCAACTGCCACTGTTCTCTCATTCAGGGCTAATAAATATATTTTTCAAAAATGTATAGTTACTCGTAAGAACAGTTGCAAGTATTTTAAAACCTACTATTATCTTAATATCCGGGTACACTGTCTTTACAGCAAGTGCAACACCAGCTAGCAATCCTCCTTCCCCCACGGGAAGAACAACTGCATCCAAATTGCGCACTTGATCGATGATTTCTAATCCTGTAGTGCCTTCCCCACTGATGACGCGAGGATGATCGTGCCTTTTAATTGAATGATAATGATAATAATTAAATTTTGTAAAATGAAACAGTATTAGTTAGGGTTTCTGCAAAGGATGTCTTAAGGAACTGCTCAATTAATATACGTATGGCTGCTTCTACCAACAGTAAAGTCCCTCGGTTTGAAGTTCCACAGTTGAGCATACGCTTGCGTTTTGTAAATGCACTAATAATGTTAGCCAGGAGCAGCGAGAGAAAAGCCAAATTAAAAGTTAAGTTACTGGACAAAATTTTCAGAAAGATAACCATTTAAAAACGATACAACATTATCGGGTAGTAGCCGTAAAAATAAGGCACAACAACAACAACAACAATGACTTATATCATTCACCCATCGATATAAGCGAGACGCTTTTCCGCTGCCATGCTGGTAGCAAACTCTCTTGCCTAAATTATAAAAAAATTGATTAGTTTTGAAATTAGATTAACGAAAAAAAAAAAAAAAAGATTAACAGGACAAGAAACAAAAAGAAGGCTTACCTCCGATTGGTTTTTTCCCTTTATGATGATGTTGGCGCCAAATTTCTTGCACATCGTTTGTTTCATCAAAGGTGACTGTTCGGGTAAAACAACGTGGACAGGAATCTCTAGGGCTTGGCAGTGAAATGCAAGTGCTATTCCGTGATTTCCAGGAGTGGCCGTTATGACCCAACGGTCTTTTTTATCCTGGAATCGGTGAAGTTAATTACAGAACGTTACACTCTTCTGAAGGTGTAGTCTGATCGCCCGGGTGAGTGTAGTCCTGAGAAGGACTGTTGTCGGTGGCAGTGACTGACGTTTCGACAACCTGTGCGGAAGTCATCATGAGAGTCAAGTGAACAGGTTCCGCACAGGTTGTCGAAACGTCAGTCACTGCCACCGACAACAGTCCTTCTCAGGACTACACTCACCCGGACGATCAGACTACACCTTTACATGTTACCCCCGGGTTAAAACCATTTACTGCGTTACACTCTTCAGTTCTACTTCGTTGAATATTTCTCCATCTCAGGCTCCCGAAAAATCTGAAGCACCCTCATCACGCAGAGACTGAAGTGAAAATTTGACCTTTTTTACTCTGTATGAATATGGGACGAGTTGTACAGCGCTCTTCTAAACAGTACATGTGTAACGGCTGATAGTTTCTAAAGAAACTGTTTGGGGCTGCGTCGGTGGGGTAACGAAATAATTTGAATATATCAACAAAGTTGAAATGAAACAACAACAAACATATGAAACATATGTATGAACTGCGGTTATGAGACGTATATGTGCACGATCCTTCGCAGTAAAGCACTATTTGAGCAATAGTGAAAATCTTGATCAGCAGGGATTTGCTAAAGCAAAGGCATAGAAAAAACCAGGAAAGATTTATTACTCGACGTTTCGGGGTCATCGTGACTCCATTATCAAGAGACTAGTTTAAAAACATGCAAATAAGGAAAGGTACAAGAATAGCATAAATTAGACTGAACGGCTTAAACAAACACCTTGGCGCGGATGGAATCCGTTTGCACGTTCAGTGTTGGCTTACGCATGCGAATATACAACATTTCATTAACAAGGCAATCAAATTTGCCGTTACATTTCGTGATGACGTTGAATTGCTCGATCAAGCGTTCAGGCATTTCACTATTGTGCTGGAGGTGGTAGTGTTTGTAGATAGAAGATGATTTCCTTGTGTGCACTTCTACGCGCTCGTGTAAGTGACCACGAGTATAGCCCACATACCCTGCATCACACAGGTTACATTTAAAAAATTCAACGTCATCACGAAATGTAACGGCAAATTTGATTGCCTTGTTAATGAAATGTTGTATATTCGCATGCGTAAGCCAACACTGAACGTGCAAACGGATTCCATCCGCGCCAAGGTGTTTGTTTAAGCCGTTCAGTCTAATTTATGCTATTCTTGTACCTTTCCTTATTTGCATGTTTTTAAACTAGTCTCTTGATAATGGAGTCACGATGACCCCGAAACGTCGAGTAATAAATCTTTCCTGGTTTTTTCTATAGTGAAAATCAGACCTGAAAAAAATTTCAGGCCTGTACGGGATTCGAACCACTGACACTCAATCAAATAAAGTGCTCTGAAAATGTAAGAAGATCATGAAGTCTGATGCCTCCTCGACTTTAACAGAAGAATGCAGAGAGAAATTAGAAAGTGAAACAACTTTTTTATTTGATCAAGCTCTACACGTTTCATCAGACCTAATCTTAGATGAGTCGCTATCAACACTGGGGACCGATAGTTGAAGTAGATCTGCCTTTAGAAAAATGAATTTGGAAGATCTTAAAGAAAAATAGAACAAAACAAAGGGAAAAGGCAAAGAATTAAACTTTGATAAGTTGTGGAGAGACCGAGTGGAGAGAATGAAGAGAGTAGCTCCTGTTTGGCTTTCCGATATCGTAACCACAGCGTTTTGGATCCGCAATGGTGTTCCTAAGACGCCGTGTGAGGTTTGTAAATAACCAAAAAATAATAAAAGTACATTTTGATTGATTTTCGTAAATCAAAACTTAAAAACTACAAAACAGCCGATTACAACAAAGGAAAATATAAGATGGAACCTGCGGGAAGTAATTTAATAAGAAGTAAATCGTCTGAAGTACTAGAAGACGAGAGTGGTCACGACATAACTGGTTTCAGTTTTCCAACTCATATACTGAAAGGATGGCAGGAATTTTTTTGCATTAATCACAGAGCATGATAAAGCGAAGCCAATATATTGCAATCTCGCATTACATTCGACATCAAGTCGAACAATGATTTGCGGCTTAGTTTTTTCTGGAGTTGAAATATGTTGTGCTTTTCAATTGAACTGCTCGACACGGCTTACTTAACGAAACTTTAAAACAAATTTTTGTAAAACACTTTCCTAGAAATATTCAGTTCCGATTATGCTTGCTTGTATTATACATATTCTTTGATGAATTACAATCATACAGCTCTCATCCTCCTCTGTCCAATGATCACCGCTCAACATACTTGAATGTGCATCCCCTGTGCCTTGTACCTCAGTCCGTAATATCGCCCAACTAGTGTCTGGCAGACACAGGTTTCTTTTTAACAATTGCTTTAATTCGGTACCTCTCTGCGAGGATCACTGCTTTACTAGATACATGTATTCAAACGTAGATCTCTCGAAAATATGAAAATGTACAAAGATATGACAAGCCTACAATAAACAAGAGTGCATTCATCAGTGACACTATTTATACCAGTAAATATATTTTCTAGACCAGGTGCGTATCGTCCATGTACGCAGGTACGTCCGTGCAAACAGCTGAAATCTGAAAAAAAAAATGATTCCTTTAAAAAATTTGTCAAAGTTACCATAAAATAGGAACGATTTTTAAATTTCGAATTATGCTGACATGTGTGTTTGTTTTTTCAGTGCCTTTTCATTAATACATGAACGACAAGAAACGTTATTTGGCTTCCTAGACTTGTTAACTTTCTAGTTATTTTAGGAAGCCAACACCATTTTAGCTTTAAAACTCTAGAGATGGGTAAAACAAACAATTAACTACTGCATTTTCATTCGTATGTATTTATAAAAAAGTTTAATTTTAACCGTGAGTTGTAGCCAGGAGCGTAGCAAGTCATTTTTGGCTTGTAAGCCTGTTCCATACCTCGTAAGCATAATGCGGCCGGGAAAGGTAGGGGAAGTCGAGTATTTCCGACAAAAGGGAGTTCCGCGCCTGGTAGCATTTTCAACTAATGGTTCATAAAGTACATCACAATGTATGGAAATTACTGTACTTTGTGTCTGGACGTGAGGGAAACAGTCAAGCAACTGAAGGCCACGTTATCACTAATCAGCAAATCACAATCGTAGTAAAAGCAAGGTAAAGGCGAATCTTACATAACTTGTCACCTCCGAAGGCATCTTATTAGAACTGAGAATCACTATTCACTTACAGGGTGTTCACTTATTCGTCTGAAAGTTCTAAAAGAAGTCCACTGATCTAATTTTCATTTCAGTCGATGTGGGAGCACTGCTCTCGGCACTGTTTGAAACCAATTTTCCCCAGTGGATATCAGCCCTGGTTTTATTTCCACAACGCGGATAAATTCCGTTGAGATTCGACAAAATAGCACAATAACTATTGTTGCCATACCACCAGCCTCCGCCTCTTTTTTGAGCGCAATCAGCTGAATTTCTATCCCAGGTACCAAAAGCGAAATCTCTGTGAGGACTAAGGGAATCAGAGAAAACCGTCGCATCTGTTCCGAAATAAAAAGAAAAGGAATTTGCAAAAGTTTACGATCAAGATAACATCTTGGAGGCCAACAGCTTAGTTTTTGTCGTAAAAACCGAAAAAAAACAAAACCAGAGGAAAATTTAACTCGAACAATAGTGACATGCTGTTTCGATGAAGTAAATTTCTCCTAGCATCATATCGTACTGATTCGACGTAGCGCCCGGGGCACTTATTTACTTTTGGTACCCCGGGGAAGGGAACTTATTAGAAACAGGGCGCTTTTCGTTTTTAGATGAAATAGCAGATTGTGAAACACCATGACGTGAGCTTACGCGAAGCTAAAGCAGTAAGGTTCACGTTGTCTTACTTGAAATGTGAAAGAACAAGCTAACGTTAGCTGTTTCGCGTAAAGGCGGTGCTAAATCTCTCTGATATATAAAAATCGCACGATGAATGGTAAAAAAAAAAAAATGGTTTAATTACTTGTAATATTGCCAATGTACAGCCGATACTTAGCCATCTCGGTCCCAATCCCGAACCAGTCATACTCAGCGTGAACGGTTTTGTCAGTAGTTACTCCCAGATCTACTCGAAGCTTGTTATATGTCTCATTTCGTGTCAGGCGGTTTATCTTGTCCAGGCCAAGCCAAAATTCACCGACCAAGTTACCGAAGCCATGTTTGTAGTCGTTCCAAGTGCGGTTAAAATCAAAAGAGCCATCTAGTCTCCTCTGAAACACTGCCCAGCCCCCACCGGCTGTTGTTTGGTCACAATACACATTAAAGGCACCTAAACCATCTGGGTCGATTGCGTAAACACCGCTGATCCTTCGGCCGGATTTGTACAGCTCAGCACAGTTCTTAGCTGATCAAAAAAATCATGATAAGAATCAATATGAATAAATGGTAATAATGGTATCAACCAACACACACGATCTTAGAGTTTTTTACTTACCTCTCGCCAATGTTTTGTTCTCCATGAGAATGTTAACCTCAAATCGAACTTGAGTGATTTCCTTTATTATTTCTTCCAAGCAGACAGCAGTATTCTTTTTGCAATCTATTGGGGCTGCACGGGTTGATGGTTTTATTTGAAAAGTCACTGAAAGTGCCAGGAAGAGCGTAACAGAACCTAAAGGAAAGAAATCTGATTATACAATGTGAAGTTACTCCCTGGGGCAGATCCAGGATTAGTAAGAGAGTTCGGATAAACATCCGCCGAAGGTATACCTGCAGGCCTGGGAGGAGGAGGAAAGAAGACGAAGGTATTTAAATGTTAATAATGGCAGATGAAGGTGGATGTAGCTAGGTAGAGGAGAGCAGATGAATGAAGATGAAAATGGAGATAACTGAAAGAGGATAAAGGACAATGAACGCAGATAAAGGTGGATGAAGATAGAAGAGGGTTAAGGACGATCTTTGAAGATAAAGGAAGGTAAATGGAAGTAGAGGACGGTATATGAAGGTAAATAAATGATGTCAGATGAAAGAACATGGAGATAGATGAGGTTAAATTCAGATAGATGAAAGGCGATGAAAGTAGAGGAAGGTAGATACATGTCAATTATGGTAATGGAAGGTGATCAAGGAAAAACTATGGTAGATGAAGAAATATGAATGTAGATGAAAGTAGATGGTGGTAAAAGATGGTAAATTTAGGTAAATGATGGTAGATGATTAAGATGAAGGTAAATTATAGTAGATAAAGGTATACGAAAGTAAACAGAGGCTCACACTTTTACGGTGCTCTTCGTGATGTTTACGTCTTGGCCTTTCAAAGACCCCTACAATTCAATCTTCAAGTGGATCATAGCTCTAACCTGAGACATTCGAAGTCAATTTCAATCTAGCAAATGTCGAAACAGCCGTATAAGCTAATGATTTGATAAACTTTGCTGACCATGTGATTACTTCCCAAATGCCAAATTCAGCTTGTGGCATGAGTAGCTAATTTTTCTCAAACAGTTTTACTCAGGGACGTAGTGGTGATATGGATATACTTAGGTCTCCATAGACTGTCCGTGTTCGATTTTTGGTGGGAGACACTTCTAAACATTAATTTCCTTTGTTCTGTACATTTTCCCCCCTTTTTTTATAATGCCGTCAATTCACTTTTTTTTAAAGTCATAGGTACATGTTTCCGCCGGAATTTCCATTGCTCTGTCAATGAAAAACTCTGTAATAATAACAATCTTTATTGAGATGACTTTTTCAAATAAAATATGGTGTTCAAAAAGGATCTCCAACAAAGAATTAAAAAAATTAAAAATATGTAGAAAATATAAAAAAGAAACAACACATTAACTTAAATTCATATGGATCACAGATTAAAAAAAAAAATGGTATGAAATTCAGGAAGTCACAAATTTAAAAGATTACATTAAAAAATATTAAGAATAACGGATTGCTTGGCCAAGAGAGTTAAAATCCTTGATGGCATGAAAAGTTGTCCGTTGTCTACCCAATTCCTCTTGACACTTCGAAGTTTAAGATTTAGCTTAGTTCTTGTCTTATAATCATGTTGTTCATGCTGTCTTATGAAGTTCAAATCATGCCCAACAAGTCCATTTAAACACTTCTCTGAAAACGCCTTTTTTCTAATGGAAACCACTTAAGAGTGGCAAGCGCATGCTCAGCAGACGAATAAATAGGTCTGTCTAAAGTTATTTTAGCAGCCTTATTCTGCAAGACTTGCAAACTGGTCATTAAGGTTATATTATTCTTGTCTCCCGAAACAAGGTCTGCATCATCAAATAAAGGCATTACAAGAGTATTGTAAAATAGAAGGCGCGCACTAAAAGGTAATAAATGCTTAATGTGTTTTACGGGACCAAGCCTTTGATTAAGTTTGCTAGCAATGTATTGGACATGATTTGTCCATGTAGAATAAGATGATATAAAAATTCCAAGGTATTTGAAGCTGTTGATATTATTTACATTGTGGTCGAAAATTGATAGAGACAGTTATTTTGCTTTCCAATTTTCTATTGCTACCTAAAAGCATGCATTTAGTTTTTTCAAGGTTGAAAGTAAGTTTGTGAGCATTTAACCAAATAGCTACGGCCAACAAGTCGCGAATTGGCTTATCACTGATCTCATGAGAAGATGAGCCGTAACAGTAAATTCCGGTATAATCTGTATAGAGGGACGCACAGCAGTATTCTAGAGTGCTTGGCAGATCGTTTATATAAATGGCAAACAACAAGGGGCCTAAAATGCTACCCTGTGGAGCCCCGTGAGTTACTGGCAACTCGTTAGAAATCTCATTCCCACAAGATGTTCGCTGTTTTCGGTCAGTGATATAAGAACGAAACCATTGAAGGGAATTTCCAGACAAACCATACGTCGATAGCTTAGACAATAAGATCTGGTGATCCACCGTATCAAAAGCTTTTGTTAGATATAAAAAAACACGGTTCCACATAGTTTACCCTGTTCCATATTGAGAAGGACTTCGTTGGCCGGCAAAGGTTGTCAAGGCAGATGTGGTGGACAGTCTCTTCCGGAATCCAAACTGTTTTCCTGAAAGGAGCTTATTAGCAACCAGGAATTGGTATAACTGTGTATGTACGGCTTTCTCAGGAATCTTGCTGAGTGTAAGCAATATATTGATAGGTCGATAGTTTGATGCATTTGTCCGGTCCCCTGACGTGGCTCTAATTTTTTTAACATTTCCGCAGTTTAGGAAATTTGACAGTTTTAATTCATAGATTCAGTAACTTAGTTTCAGAGTTAATGTTTAGCGCATGGACGATTGGAAGACCCTTCAAATTTGGTTTTTAAGTTGATCATAGCGCTAATCTAAAACATTCGAAGTCCATTTCAATTTAGTAAATGTCGAAATAGCCGTGTAAAGGCAATAAACATCGCAACAATCGATGCAATGACAATGGCGCCAGGACTTCGGACTTCTTCGGAAGGATAGATCTCGAGTTCGGAGCCTACTAATTACGACAAATAACTGAGAGTCACCGTCAATTTGTATACCCCAAAGGGCCCACAATAACTCGTTTCTGCGCTATCGCGTACGCACGAGTTGATAAGGACTGGAAAGGAATAAAGCATGGCATTAAATTTGTCCTTACACCCTATGAAACTCGACAAAAAGGACTATAAAACAGCTCTATACTCTCATGATACTTGTTTGGGGAGCCATTTTCAAAACTTGACTAAAGTTTATACGTTAGTCTAGCTCGCCACTGACTCGACATTGACTTGCCGTCCTCAATGCAGAAGCGAATTAGAAACTGAAAGAGCTCACTTCTATCCGGCGCCTTATCTGGGCTGGTTAATAAAGCTTACGTTATTCGACTGGCCATGTTTGCATTCCGCCACCGTGCGATGGTAGAAGCAACAAGAAACTGCTAAACACTGACTGGTAAAATTGTCCCTACTGTGCAGGCTAGCTCACCTTAATAGAATGTTTTCGATCAAACGATTAAACAAGCCGATTTTTTGGACTTGGAAATCGAATTGTGCAGAACAAAGTAGAAAGTCTTGTTATAGGCAGTCACAAGCGTAAAGATTCAACTTTGCTAGATAAGAAGACTGTGCGTTATCTAAACTAGCATCGAAAACCATTACGAAACGTCTAGAGTTAGACTTCTGTCCCTTGCCGATTGATGATACAGAAAACGCTTTTCGAGAGGTCTTGAATTATGTACAATGAAGTCGTGCATGCAAATCCTCATGGTATAACACAGTTCCTACATCTGTTTGCCGCTTTAAGTTGAAAACCTTTCGCATTAAGTGACATTATGTTCTACGAAAAGTCCTATATTTGAAAAATAAAGAAGTAGATGGAGCGCATTGTTTATGGAAGTTTATGTACTTTGCAGATTGTACGCCAAAAAGCCTTACGTCACATACCTTTTCCTTGTTGAGTAAAACTTATTTTTATCTTATTTGGATGTAATTCTTAGTATGTATGCAGCCATACATGACCGAATAGAAAATGAGAATCTCTGCAGAAAATTGTGGTGGCAAGCTTTTAGAGACCAACAGGACTCTCAGGCACCTACCTGACAGGAGTGCGTGCTCGTACGTTTTTTGCGATTAATCTCTTGTCTCTGCCTTGTTATCCTAACCTCCTACATCATCCGTGACACCAGTATTGGTATCAATATCAGCGAGAAGGAAAATGACGATATCCGCTGAAAATGCTTATTGTGAAATATTTAAAGGAGATTGCACAAATGCAAAGACGGTTTTGACGTCATCTCAGATCTTTCGCAGCGCTCGCAAAAAAGTATTCCACATACAAATATAATGGATAAAGAGAATTTTTGGGCAAATTTTGACTTTGAGTTTGGCTATCTCAATCCATCTGAGCCCGAGGGAACAACAGCAAAAGAAAAAAGAACTTTAGCACTTTAAATTTGCGTGCCTCGTTGATCGTCAGCTGGATGACATCTCGAGGGAGTTCAAGGGAATAGCGTCTCGGGTTTGCACGAATTGATCAAATTCTTCCAAACCTTCTCGTGTTAAGAAGAGGCTATTTGAACAGGAAAAAGTCCTGTATTGCCTAATATTATTGGTAACTCTTGCTCAAAAAGGCCATATGTGTTTCACGTTCTGAGAAGCTTTTATAAATTATAGCCAGCCATTCGAGGAAAATTGTCTTCCATTCAAGCTTGGTAATGCAAGGTGTTCTGCTACATGCGAATACCTTGTGAATCCCCTGCCATAAGCACAAATAGATAAATAGATTTATTTACGCGTGTGTTAATTTTTAATTACTATAATGAAACATCAACTTTTTATCCAGCAACTTGAAAACACGGTCACCGTGGGTAATTGTTTGACCGATTCAATTACCTAGCACAATTCTTAACCTTTGCGCGTTAAACAGAGAGGGAACCCACTTTTCATTCTTGATTCTGTCCGCGGAGCAGTTTTACTAAAGAAACTTCACTCCTGGTCACCTGATTTTTATTTTTGATGTTCGTGAGGCCATAATCGTATCCCGGCCTAGCACTATATAAAATAAAATGGACTGCAGTGACAGTTAGAGGATAGTGACATCATCAGTTATCAA